ACCCAACTCTGGTACTACTGCGGGCTCGATATTTTTACAGCCATTTTGCAGGACGCTATGGTCGGATGCGCCGACGCCACCGCCGTTCACATCGAGCGGCACGGATGCACTTTTGGGGCTCAGGTGATCGGGTTTGCTGGCACCGTCACTTTGCGGGTAGCTGTCCACATCCATGGGTGCGATGTGATTCTATGCCGAAGGCAGAAAAGGAAATCGGTATGGAGCAGGAAAGGTCAAGATGAGCATTGGACAAAAATGTCCTAAAGCTAGGATCATGAACCAAACCTTACTGGGCTCGTGAATCGAGACTTTGTTTATGGTAACACGTCACCACTCACCGCAAGTTTTCCCACGTGACGTTTAGCACAAAACTATGGCCAATAAGTTGCCCGATCTCAGCCCTATAGAGGCTTGTTGTTAGTAAAGTTGCACAAGGCTGGTTAACATTCATTTTCCGTAAGGGAGGTCACAAGAATATTGCGTTATACTGTAAAATGCCCGATTTTCGTTTAGTTAATCCGAAAGCGACCAAGCCAGTCGATCTCAGGATCGTGGATTACGTAAGAAAACTGATGGAGCAATAGTATGCACCTGCCCAATAACGTCGTAAAACAGCCGGAAAAGAAACTCTACCATTGCTAGGAGCAGGCCTGAACTAATTATCCCCTTTTTAGCACCAAGAATGCATCTACTATTCAGTCAAAAGTTTCTCAATCAGAACCGACTAAGACTAGCACGTGTTGAGAAAACAGCGACGGCTTTGGATTGCAGTCGGTTGCACCCTGCAGCAGCGTCCACTGAAGGCTCTCGCCTCCCACATTAATTGCGTTCCAAAGTACAAGGGCGTAGAAGTGGTGGCCGACCTGGCCTGAAGCCTCCGTTCAAGTGTGCCACATACGCCGCCCATATAGCCAATAGGAATCGAGTTTCACTGGCGGGGACATTTTACTGTGAGTGGATTGGAATACCCAGAAGCAGTCCTAATCTGACTCTCAGATTTGCGAAATGGAATAATCCTCTTAGATGGCAACTTTCACAGAAATACAAGCTTCGACCACTTCCGAAGGCTCAAAAGTGCGTCCGAATTGTTTGTGCTGGGAGACTATATTGCAATGCATCGATTAGTCCACTGTAAGCCAATGGCCAGTGCTAGACAAGATCATCAGGCAAATACAAATGTAGCATATATTGCATATAGAAGCGAACATGCGAGTTCCAGGAAGCCGATCAGAAGAAGAAGAAGATGCGATCACTGGAACAAGATCTCATCTCCTTTTTCTGTAGCGTATATTAACGAGCGGCTACTTCGTTTCGGCAGTCATGGCAAGGTACGGTGTTCAGTTGGTCTGGAATTGCCGCTCCACTGATATGAAAGCAAGCTCGTAAAAAACGTTTTCTTTTCTGGGGCCCTACAAACAGTCCCGATAGGCCAGTGCAAGTTAAAATGCTGAACAAGGTTCAAAGAGCAGGTGCCCGCGAAAAGATACTCAATTCTAAAAAAATGCAGACAGGGTGAACAAACATACCTGATTAGCACAGGAGGGAGTTGAGGGTCCCGATTTCACTGAGGTGAGACCGCACAGAAGGGATTCATGTGAGCATGACTTCTGATCACCCGATCGTTGTGGCGCAGAGTGACGATGCATCTACATTTGAGAATAAGTAAGAGATACGTTTTATTTCAAAATTTCCATAAAAAACGTCCTCCATTCATAGGGAATAAAGGTAGGTGACAAACTCACAACACCGGGAAATTAAAATTAATCCATACTCGCCAATGACTGCAATTTTCGACATCGTGGATAAATGCCCTCGGCAAAGTCGCCAAATACAGGCCAAATTGGACTGCTTTCAAAACGGCGCTAGCGTCCTGACCTAGTACTCTCATGACCTCTTTGTAGTTAAAATAAACAAAGAGGGGTAAAAATCGGTTTATACTGGGCGAAGCAGGCCAACCCACGTATACATAAGAAAATTTACATGCGAATGAACGGAGGAAAAAATGGCGGCTCAATTTAAGAAACATGGAGGATGAAAAAGATTGAGCTTTTTTCCTTTGGTTTTATTCGTTCACTTACATGCAGTTGCAAAACATACCAGCTGGGAGCATGCTCCTAAGTCAACTGCCACACTATCTTTCGGTCGGGGAATTCTGTTTTTTTGTTCAAATTTATGTTCGACAACCGCAGAAAGAGAGGATATTTTATTGCACGGAACAAATGCATACATTGTTAATTGCAGTCGCCTGCAGGATAGTAAACCTTCTGAATGTGACAAGAACTTTTGGATTTAAAAAAAGCGAAAAACTTGCGCAGTCGCGTGTTTTTCCGAAATTGCCTACTTACGCACCATCCGCGCTTTTTTCAAAATCAAATTAACAAAATGCTAAGGGATCACACAAAAATCCATTTTGGCTAGTGCTACAAGACGAAATCCACACGGAGCCAATATTATGCCTTGTGCGTGGCACTAAGGCATGAAAAGACAAAGTACTAAATTAATAATTACCTAATCTAAAACAGCAGGATTTATTGAATTTTAACAAAATTCGCGACAGCTTTTCCACTGCATCCCATCGTTACATGAGTCAGCTAACGGTTAGAAGCATACAGCAGATGGAATTTCGCAGAATGTCAGTGTTTAACAGCCAGGGTTATGGTTCAGTGTAAATAATGATGGACTGACAGAAACTACATTCAATCAGCCTATAGGAAAAAAGGGGGGGTAAGCAAGTTGGCGCTCACCAAGTCCTGATTAAAACTAGCTGCTTAATTACCAAGGTAATTGGAAATTGATCACGTGGTCTAGTTGCTGGCCTAGATGGGGTTTCTCCCGCCGTATGCAGGCCGCCGCTTCGAAGAAGCGCAGGGTCCGATTTGTTCGTGCCCCAACAAGTGCTCGG